ATCCCATAGAAGGTTATTAGAGGAGAGGGGAAGAGGGGAGAACAGGGGGAAAGGTAGAGGGAATAAGAAGCATAAATGGTAGGTACAAAATAAACAGGGGGAGGTTAAGAATGGTATAGGAAATGGAGAAATGAAAGAACTTATATGTATAACCCATGGGCATGAACTAAGTGGAGTGGGGGGAATGCTGATGGGAGGGGGGTGCAGGGTGGAGGGGAATAAAGGGGAGAAAAAAATGGGACAACTGTAATAGCATAATCAATAAAATATACTTAAAATTTTAAAAAAGGACTACACATTGACAATGTGCTACATAGCTCTATTGTCATATCAGATGTGTTGTGGCAATAGAGTTATGTAACTCAGGCAACCATGGATATGACTTCTGTCACTATAGGTTAGTTTGACTTGTTGACAACTTTATATAAACGGAATCACACAGTATATCCTCTTTCTCACTTCCTTCATTTAGCATCATTTTGAGATTTGGCTTGTTTAATAGTCTGTCCCCTCACCAGTTGCTAAACAGGCTAATCTTTCCCCACTGAGTGGCCATGGCACCCTGTTGAAGCCACTTGTAGATAGAAAAATCTATCTACATTTACAGTCTTAAATAGAAGAAAAGAACAAAATTGGAGAATGCGTACTTCCTAACTTAAAAACTTACTGCAAAGTTACAGGAATCAAAACACAAGGCTATCCTTGGCCTAAGGATAGACCTAGAGAATAATGGAATATAATTTGAATATAATTTAGAGTTCAGAGCTAAAACTGAAAGACTTTAGGCAGGAAACATAGGTACAAGTCTTTGTGACTTTGAGTTGGACAATAATTTCTAAATATGACACCAAAACCACAGGACACAAAAACTATTTATAAATTTACCTTTAGCAAAATGAAAAAGTTTTGTGTGTGAAAGGCCACTACCAACAAATTAAAAAGGAACCAAAATGGCAAAAGTTATTTGCAAATCGCGTATCTGGTCAGAGACTAGTTTCCAGAATATATAAAGCAACTCTTAGAATTTAATAATAAAAAGCCAGATAACCCAAAATTTAAAAAGGCAAATGTTCTGAACAGAAATTTCTCCAAAAAACAAAACAAAAACCCAAATGACCAATAAACACAGGGAAAGATACTCAACATTGTTATTTATTAAGGAAATGTGAATATAAAATATAATGACTTACCATTTCATATCCTATCATTTTTTTATAAAAAAGAAAGGAAGCTAACAAGTATTGATAAATATGTAGAGAAATTGAAACTCCTATTGAACTGGTAGGAGAGTAAAATGGTGCAGCATTGTGGAAAAATTTGGCAATTCTTCAAAGAGTTAAACATGGAGTTGCCATGCAACCCATACATTTTATTCCTGGGTGTATATCCAAGAGAATTAAAAATATATGTCCTCAAAAAATGTGTACATGAATGTTCAGAGCAGGAATATTTATAATAGCCAAAAAGTGGAAATAACCCAAACGTCCTTCAACTGATGAATGGATAAATGAAATGCGGTTTAACCATACAATGGAATTACTCAACCATATTACTTGATCAATTATTTAACCATAGAAAGGAATAAAGTACTGACATACGCCACAACAGGACGAACCCTCAAAGCTTTGTGCTAAGTGAAAGAAGCCAGTCACAAGGGGTCACATATTGTATGATTCCATTTACATGAAATGCCCAGAATAGACAAAATCATAGAGACGGGAAGTAGTGGTTGCCAAGAGAGGGAGGGAGGAGGGGATTACTAACAAGCCTGGGGTGTCTCTGGGGGAGGGGGCGGTGATGAGAATGTTCTGGAAGTGGAGAGTTAAGATGATTGTACATTGAGACTATGCTAAAAACTTCTGAATTCTACAATTTAAAATAGTAAATTTTATGTTACACGAATTTTACCTCAATCTGAAACAATCATAATTATATATAACTGGTACATTAATTGAATATAATGTTTAATAAAATGTACAGATTAAAAAACACATTATCCTTTAATATCCCTTTTATCCCCCAAATTACCCAAATCTACCCTTGATGGAACTCAGTACTCAGATGACCCCATGTTGTTGGCCCCACCTGCCTGTGGAGACAGATTGGGTACCAGCTCTTCTCTGTGCGGCCAGCGCTGCAGCCGGGCTCTAACAAGGGGTCCAGAACGGCAGGAGCGGGTCTGGCAGTGGATCAAACCAGGAAGCCTGGTGGTGGGAAGAGAAAGGGTTAACAAAGACTCCCTGTACCCACCTTCCCCCAGCCTTCTGGACAGAGCAAGTGTTGCAGTTTCTTTGAGCAAAATATGGGAAGCACTGATTTCTGCCTCAAGACATGTGTAAAGAGGTGTAGATATAGGTGAGTTCCTTTAAATGTTATGTTTTTCTCTATTTTTTCAAATATTAAACCAATTTCATATTTCTTGGGTAAACACCCCTTGGTCATGGTGTATTATCCCTTTTAAATATATTGCTGGACCTGATGGTCAGGGTTTTGTTTCTATGTTCTTGAGGGATTTGGGTCTGTAGTTATTTTTTTCATTGCAATGTTTTTGCCTTGTTTTTGGTATCAGGATGATGCTGGCCTCATAAAACGGTCTGTGAAGGATTCTGTCTTATAGTTCGGATAGATAGTTTATATAAGATTAGTGTCATTTCTTTTATAAATGTTTGATAGAATTCTCTAGAGAAACCATATAGCTCTGGAGTTTTCTCTGTGGGAAAGCTTTTTTTATAGTTAACTAAGTTTCTATAATAAATCCAGGACATCTGAGTTTGCCATATCATTTCATATCAGTTTTAATAAGTTGAATTTTTTAAAGTTTTTTTCCATTTCATTTAAGTCACTGAATTCGTTAAGATAAAATTAATGTACTGTTTCATTTTTATTCTTTTAAAGTCAGTAAGCATCTGCAGCAATAACTATGCTTTCATACCTGCTGTTGACAGTTTCTGTTCTCTTTTTGTTTTCAATCTAGCTTGAGTTGTAGTGCCGTTACAAATATTTTTCAAACAACCGGTTTTTGTTTTGTAGTTTCTCTCTTTTTTATTTTCTATTTCTGTATGTCTTCTTTTATCTTTATTTCTATCCTTCTACTTACTTTTAATTTGTTATTCTCTTTATGGTTTCTGAGTCACCAATTTTATTTCATTTTTTTAAATACTATTATTCTTTTTTTAAAGATTTATTTATTTATTTATTTATTTTTAGAGAGGGGAAGGGAGGGAGAAGGAGAGAAACATCAATGTCTCTGTAGTTGCCTCGAGTGCGCCCCCTACTGGGGACCTAGCCTGCAACCCAGGCATGTGCCCTGACTAGGAATTGAACCAGCAACCTTTTGGTTCTCAGGCCAGCACTAAATCCACTGAGCCACACCAGCCAGGGCTGAGTCACCAATTTCAGAGCATTGATTTTAGACTTTCCTTCTTTCTAATTAAAGCATTTAAAGCTATAACATTTTCTCTAAGTGCTGCTTTAGTTGCATCCCATTAATTTTCATATGTGCTATTTTCCTTATTTTTCAGTTCAAAAATACAAGTTTTGGCATAAATAATGCCCCCTTTTTATTACAAAATCATAAGCATGTAATTCTGTAACATAACAATATCACACTCAAGCACACCATATGACATTTTAGATGAAATTGTTCAAATTATAACTATAAATTATTATACCCATATTATTACCCTACCAACCACACTCAGGCAGGGTTTTTTCTGCCAGATCCTGTATTTTACAATTTGTCTTGTTATTTCTTCTTTGACTCATAGATTTTTTTTTTTTGGAAGTTGGATTTCCACATTATTGACACTTTTCTAGACATCTTATTTGTTATTGACTTCTAATTCCTTTCAGATGTTTTATATAATTTTCTTTTTCTGCAGAAATTCCTTATCTTTTCATTCATTATGAATATTTCTCCTTTATTCCTTTGAGCATTGTTACAATAGTTGCATTTTCATCCTCTTTGCAAATTTTAACAGCCAGGTCATCTGAGGGTCAGTTTTTTGGCAATCTTTTGTTCTGAATGCAGACCATATTTTCCTATTTCTTCATATGCTGAGTAATTTTGTTTTGTATCCTGAACATTGTAAAAGTTGTGTTGTGGAGGCTGAATTCTGTTTTACTCTTCTGAGAAGTACTGATTGTTTGTATGTTGCTTGTTTAGCAGACAATTAATGCAGCTGGCTCAAATTCCAAACTGTCTCCCCAGAAGCAGGCAGCAGCTGAAACTTCAGTTCAGTCCTTTGAGCTTGCGCTGGTGTATGCATGGCTCAGTGGTCAGCCAAACATTTCCATGGCAGAAATACACACAGAATTTGGGGTTCTTGCCCTTTCTTAAGAGAGAGATTTGCTCCATTTACGTTGTCTATTTTTGAACCTGCTCCCGGAGACAGCAAGGTTTTTCAAACAATCTTGCCATTTTATAGGGGCTTCAGCATTTTATGGGAGAAAGGAAAGAAGGGGATGAAGGAAGAAAAAAAAAGGATGAGAGAGAAGGTGGGAGGGTGGAGACAGACGTCGTAAATGCTCACTGGATACTTGTTGAATAAATGATGGAGTGACTCTGGGATCGTTAGCTCCCTGTTATAAATGAGGACACAAGTTTCAGAAAGATTCAATCGCTTGTCCAGGAACACAGTACAATGGAGCCAGAATCAGGTCTCACATCTCTGAACCCAGTTTCGTTTCTTTTTCCTACACCTAGGACACTGGTCTGCCTTAGCGTTACTCAAATGCCAGTCTTCAAGGAGAAAAGGGACAGAATGAAAATTAATTCCCTTCTTTCTTCATCAAGAAAATCTCGCTAAGCAAAAAATGCTAAGCAAACTAGAGTATGCTTAACGACTCCATGTTCTGGTAAAAGTTCCTAATCTTACTACAAATAATTCACCAACCAGTAGCGGGTCCATGGACCACACATTGCAGTAATATGAATTCTCTCGCACTCTCGCCAACCACGTGGCTTTAAATTCCATGTCTTTATCATTTCAGATGCTCTCAGTGTCTAGATGGAGCCTTCAGGCATCCCAGAGTCCACCACTCCTTGGTATTATGATCCTCAGAGCTTTATGTGTGAGCTGCAGACCTTCACCTTCGCTGCCTTTAACACCACCATCCTGTACTCTCTGGTGTTCCTCCTCAGCCTGGTGGGCAACAGCCTGGTCTTGTGGGTCCTGGTGAAGTACGAGAGCCTGGAGTCCCTCACCAATGTTTTCATCCTCAACCTGTGCCTCTCAGACCTGGTGTTCGCCTGCTTGTTGCCACTGTGGACCTTGGGATACCACTGGGGGTGGATGCTGGGAGACTTCTTCTGCAAGCTCTCCAACATGATGTTCTCCACCAGCCTCTTCAGCAGTATCTTCTTCCTGACAATCATGACCATCCACCGCTACCGGTCTGTGGTGAGCCCCCTCTCCTCCCTGCGAGTCCACACCCTCCGGTGCCGAGCATTGGTAACCACAGCTGTGTGGGCAGCCAGCATCTTGTCCTCCATCCCTGATACCATGTTCCACCAAGTGTTTACTAATTCAGAAACTTCCACCTGTGAGTATTCCGAAACCAAGTGGTTCCTGGCCTCGACCTATCAGCACATCATCTTCTTCCTGCTCTCCATGGGGGTCATCCTGTTCTGCTACTTGGAGATTCTCAGGACTCTGTTCCGCTCCCGGTCCAGACGGCACCACCGGACAGTAAGGCTCATCCTCACCATTGTGCTGGCACATTTCGTCAGCTGGGCTCCCTACAACCTGGTCCTGTTTCTGCAGACACTACAGACGCTTGGGGTCATTCAGAGCTGCACGGTCATCGAGCAGCTGCATTACGCCTTGCTCATCTGCCGCAATTTTGCCTTCTCCCATTGCTGCTTCAACCCAGTGCTCTACGTCTTTGTGGGCGTCAAGTTCCGCAGACACCTCAAAAGCCTGCTCCGGAACCTCTGGCTCTGCCGATCACAGCCACCCAGCCCTTCCCCCCCAGGTGCCTTCCACTCTGAGGGCGCCTCCTTCTATTAAAAGAGAGTTTGGTGCTGCAGACTGGGGTGGACAGCGGGGCTGGCGGGGGGGGCAAAGAGAAGTGGTGCAGGAAGGAGCGTGGCAGGCGGTGCGACATGGGCGATGCTACCAGCTGCAGGCGGGGAGTGAAAGAAATGCATTACGCCAGGTCCACATGCCCCCTCTCCTGCAAAAAAGTGGCTCACCACCTGAAAATTTTATATTGCCATCAAGAAAAACATGTCTGGGACTCTGAGTGTATTCTTCATTTCTTCACTGACTCGCTCATTGAGACATGGATTTCCTATCAGCGCTTAGTTCAGAAGGTTCTAAATAAATCGGAACCATGAAAGGACTCCCTGAAGGAGCATTCTTCACGAGGGGCTGGCACTCACTGGGTTGGACAGCGGCGCAGGTGAAGGCTGCTGGCGAGAGGGTCTCTCCCGTTCCTGACTGCACGGTCGTCCCAGCTGATTTTGGAGAGTGTTGGTTCTGTGTTCCTCAGTGGCGCCTGCCAGAGGCTTCGACAAAGAGTAAAATAAGCATGGTCAGAATGAAATCTGGAGCCTAAAAGCCCACAACTGGACTGCAGATGCATATCATAATTCCAGTTTCGAGCATATGAACTAGCCTTGCATATTTAGTCCCTAAGTCTGTTATTTAAATATATAAATATATATATATATATCTCAATGCCATAAGGACTGCCTTCTGCCTGAAGCATGGATTTAGAGGAAGTAAAGATGAGCAAGGTGGAGCTGCCACCCACCGGGTACCAGCAGCCCAGCTCCGAAGGCCCAGATAAATAAGCACCCATCTCGGTGAAGGCACCCAAGGTGCGAATGCCTCCAGCATCTCATTCTCTCTAGGTGGACATTGAACAGACACTTCGGATTCATCGCTTTCCACCTGGAATGTTCTTCCCCCGCTTGATGGCAACGGCTTCCCCTCCAGTCACTCACCCTCCAAACCTCCGGCATCTTCCAGCCCTGCTTTCCTTTCCCTTCACGCCCGTAGCCAGGTCCCACCAATTCTGCCTTCCCAAGGTCTCACGGTTGTTCTTGCCATTGCACACCCACGGATCCCTCTGCAAACGGCCTCACTTCCTCAGTGTCTTCCTGCTGCCCATCTCTTCCCCTACCAGGGTCCTCTGCATTGAAACCAGGGTGCTCAAAACTTTTAGTGGCTCCTTATGACATAGAAATAAAGCGCAAACACCTTAGCAAGTGCTCCAAGGCCCCTACAATGCAGTGCCAACGGACTTTCCCATTCTCATTCCATCACTAGCTGGGGATTAGACCACCAAAGACCACAGGCTCTTTTCCAGACATCCTTCTCCCGATTTCCTCTGGGCTTCTGGTACGCTGTCACCTGGGCCTGGGACACTTGTCCTTCTGTTCCCTAATCCACAAGCGCCAGCTGAAATGCCACCTCTTTACATTCAGGAAGTCCTCCCCAATCTTCAGATCTCTGGGTTGTCGTGGCACTCTGCTTGTCCCCTCAAAAATATTATTCATCACTTTCTACCACATGTCATAGTTATGTGCGTGCCTGTATTATCTCCCTGTCCCGGGACACTACAGACCGCCTGAGGGCAGGAACCTGGTCCTGCTCCCTGACAAGCAGGGACCTGGCACCCTGTCACTGTGTGCTAAGTGGGAGCAAAGAATGGCAGCTGTCATTCTTCTTCTAATTTGTGCTCTTTGAGGAGCTGTGTCATGGGGCACTTTCTACCTCCCTTGCCCCTGGCTGCTTCTTCATAGATATTAACCTTCCTTCCCTGGTCTACACTCAGAGCACATCGCTTAATCTTCTCCATGGCAATGGCTATGCTTGACCTTGCTGTTTAGCTCATAGTATGCATGCCTGCCTCTTACACTGCTCCTTGGCTTCACATCCAAGGACAGAGGTGAAAGCCACCCTCTCAATGTTCCCGTACACACAGCCCTGGTCCCAGTCTGTGAACCTGGTTCAGCTCCGGAGCGAGGCCTTTGGAAAAGCCCCCTGGTGATCCAGACATGCACCCTAATTGGAAACATTTCGCTGCAACTCCCTGAAAATGGGAATTCCAGAATCTTCCACGGCTCCTTGAGCAGGACTCTGCACAGAGTCCCTGTGGCACTCAATGTATGCTTGTTGGATAAAGTAGCTACTAATACAGCCCTCGGCTGGAGCCTAGAGAGCGTATATGGCATTTCCCCCTGCAGTTCCAGCTATAATGGCAATGATCTAGTTGCCCCTGGGTGGCCAACCGTGGAGGAGTTTGACCTTGTAGGGGAGAGCGACAGTCTAATTTTAAGGATTAGGTCAGTAACACCTGCTGGAGAGGGCTGGGCGGCGCACCGGAGAAGGGACTGGCTAACCAGTAGGTGGGGCCGTCACTCATCACGGATGGAAGAAAGAGCAAAAGGGACGAGACAGTGACATGGCTTCCGGGTCAGAGCTAACCATTCCTTCAGGAAGCCCTCCCCAACCTGCGAATCAAGGGAGCACTTTCTGGGTTGTCCTGGCACTCTGCTTGTCCCTTCGAAAATATGCTTTGTCACTTTCTACAACGTGTCACAGTTATGCACATGCCTGTCTTAGCTCCCTGCTGGACACTGCAGACCACCTGAGGGCAGGAAGCTGGTCCCGCCCCCTGCCAAGCACAGGGCTTCTGGCAGGCTAATCATTCGGCACCCCCGAAAGTGATAGTATTAAACTTTTGTTCAATTTTGATTTAGATGGCAGGCTGACTCCAAGGAGCAGAAGGACAGAGGTTTCCAACTCACATACCTGCTTGGCCAAACGAAAGCCCTGTGGGTTTTGAGTGCGCTCTTCTTAGAAGGCAAATTGGAGGCAGGGGGTCTTGTGTTACCACGGAGCATGCCCTTTGAGAGGTACAATCCACTGTCTCCTTAACCCATCCCATTCCTTCAAATCCCAAGATGCATATTTAAGTATTTCTTTCAACACATACAGTCATACCCCTAGGAGCACTTCATTAACTACAATCGTGTTCTCCTCTTTACATTTCTAGTGATGTTTTGGCACTCCCGATAGACCAGCTCTCAGAGAGATCTCTAACCAAGAGTCTTCTCCTGATCCAGCTCCTTGAGAATCCAAGGGGAAAGGCATGGAGACAGAGAGATATTAATGGAAAGATAGAGGGACATCCTATCAGAAGGCGAGTGTGGGTGAGACCAGGGACCACATTCTACATTCTCTGACCACCTCTTTCATTGGCCACAAACTCCTGCTTTCCCCTCCCTTACCCACTGAAACCACTGTTCGACCTCAACTAGACTCTGTGGGACTATCGCTCTCCCAACAGTTGAAAAACTATGCACCGGACACTTGGCTGCAGACGTTCCCTCCCAGGACCTAAAAAAATCCCCAGCAGAACCTAAGGAAGATCCTCGTCACAGCATTTCCATCTCCACATTCTTTCAAACAAAGGCAAGAGGAGAGGAACCCTGTTGACCTCCAAATAGGGACGTGCCTCCAAACCCAGGGCAGCCCCAACCTCAGGTGAGCCCAGCCAGAGTGGAACTTCCTCAAGAGTACAATATGTATTATATGTCGAGAACTCTTATTGGTGCCCTGAAGCATTTGTGGTTGGTTGAGTAAGTGGATCAGAGACCATCTTTCTTTCTTTTTTTCCTACTTCCATTTCCTCTTCTGATACTTGCATATATTACATCTTCCAATCAACTCCCAGTACCACCCGTGGGCTTGCCATGAATTCTCCTCTAGAGTCCACCAGCCCAGACATCACCTGTTCATGCTAAACTCCTGCTGGCTTTCACTTGGGAAAGCTGACAATGAAACCCACAAGTATGGAAAGCCTAATAGAGAAGATTCCCAAAGTAAACTACCTGAGAAGGCTCTTGGGATTTGAACCCTGGACCCAGACCCCGAATCCAAGCTCTTTTACTCACCCACTGTGACCTTGGGTCTCTCACAGCCTCAGTGTCCTCATCTGTTCAACTGTGTAAATGATAACAACACAAAGACAGACTCTATCCACACAATGGAGCTGTGCTTGAGGCCATGTATATAAAGTGCTTGCTTTGTAAATCATTCAGCTGCAGACTAATATGAATTACTACTACGATCATCTTATGAAAACAGAAATTATCATTATATCATACACACAAATAAATTTCTACCCAAGATCATTACATAAGACCCTAAAAGTTCTCTGCTTATGGGGGGAACTGGGTTAGGACTTGGGGTGAAGGAAGGGATACAGAAGAAGCATTGGAGACAAAATGTGGAACAAGCCCTGTGCAGGCTGGGAGGGTGGGAAATTGGTTCCATTTAGACCTTAGAAAAAATTGTTTGAGGCCAAGTCTGACTTGAGTGCTCTGTGGCTCAGTTTTCTGTTCCTACCTCTCCTCAGGCCTAACACCCAAGTGTTCTGCCTCCAAGTCCAGGGCTTGTTTGTATCTTATGATCCGTTTGTGTCTGAACAAGGACCTTTCAGAGATCAGCCCTCCAACCAGAAGGAATGATACTGCTTCCTGCTGGGAAGTTCAGGCATCCTGAAGATTTGGTGGGAGTTACTTCCAGGTTTGGGGAGGAGTTTGAGAAGGGGAAGTGGGATTATCCTAACTCCTCATTAAGTTACCCTGAGCACAGAGCTCGCCTCTCCACCATGGATGGAGCCAGTCCAGATTTTCGGTGTGAGGTTGTTGCAGTCCCCTCCCACACAACCTCCCCAACTCCCACAAAAGGAAATGTAGTCAGAGGGACCACAGGAAGACAACGGCAACCCAAATAATTGATTTTGACCTTTTCAGAAAATCAGTCTTGAGCATCATTTGTAGTTAGAAGAAATGGACAGCATGGGAGCATGGGAGATTGGATGACTGCAAGGGTTAGAGACAAGAGACAGGGATGGGAGGAGGAGGTATAGACCTCTAGGTGGTCCCCGGCCTCATTTGCAGAGGGTCTGCTCTGTGCCAAGCTAGTGCTGAGACTGTGTTGGGAGGAGAAAGATGGCAAAGATTAATTAACCCTGCTCTCAAGGAAGTCAG